GTTGTTGCTTGAGCTGCTTTCTACATAGCAGCTGTCACTGGATTCATCATTGTGGAGCTTTTCAAGGCCTGTGTGTACTTTGTAAGATAGCCGTGGAGTGCCTTCCAGGTCCAGAGCTGTAGCACTGCCCCAAATGTAACCCTGTCTCTGAATATTTATTTTGTAAGCTTAACACTGCAAACTTCCTGAACACACAGCTAGTAGCCTTTCAAAATTCCCACCACCGTCAGTCCTACCACGATAATAGTTAAGGTGATAGCAAAGCTTAAATTCTAAATTTTTTTAAGTTATTTCAGATGCTATTGAAATGATTTACGATGTATGTTGGTCATTCTCATATTTCTTTTTACTCTTCTTGCATCTTCATCCTGTCCCCATTGCCAACCCTAAGGTCAGCTTTTAGGGCGGCTCCTTTCCTTGCAGGGTTCCATAAAGCCACCTGTTTGTGTGTGCTTCCAATTGGGACTGCAGCCGTATGGTATGAACATATGCTGCCTGTACACACACACACACAGCCTTGTAGCTCAAGCATAATGATGCAACCCCTACCCCTACTCCTCCTCCATGTCTGCAAAATGGTCCCACACCTCTCCATCCACTTTGACCTTCAATACCTGATTACCGCTCAAAGCCAGAGGTCAGCTAACATTTCTGAGAAGCCTTGTGCATGCAGGTGCATCCTCACTTCTACAAGTGAGGGGCTGATTGTGTATCCAGGCAGGTTCTTGAGTAGTTTGCATCATTGGATGCAAAGAACGTCCCTTTCAGCCCGCAGGCTAACCCTTGTTCCTTCAGTTGCAGTTCACTTTGCTCTCTCCCATGTGCTACTACACAAAATAATGCAACTTCTACAGTCTCTCTGGCTTTCCTGCATCCTTGGACCTCTTGCTCAAATGGTAACTGAAGTTTTTGGAGATGTACCTCATCCAGATACTCACTACCTTCCTCAGGAGAATCCTCTGTCCTTGGGTCCCTTTTGGTACATGTACCCCTCAGCATCGATTCTCTCCAGAGGGGCTTCCTGACTTGTGAGGTTGACCGGGACCATTTCTGACTGCCCCTTGCCTAAATAAGGACCTTACCCTTTTGGATACACCTGCTACTTCTGGGAACATTGGTCCTTGTGTTCACCCTAGTGCCCTTTCCTGGCATTGCATTTGTGGGCTGCCCAAGCAGCTTCCTCTGAAGAGAGTCTGCTTTTTAAACCCTTGTAGTCAGCACTTTTCTGAAGGACCTAATGCCTGCAACATTTGACTAGGATAGGACCTTGCATGTATCGATCATTGGCAGTTACCTGTCACTGACAGGTGAGGCTGTTGAGGTTAAACAGTCATTGGATCCCTTGTCTGCAGTCAAGGGATTTCATCCATCCTCCCCTCGCCAGTGGTGTGTAGAGCATTGGGGGTACCTCATCTCTATTGCTATGGGCCTGACACAATTGGTTTGCTATAACGGACCAAGTAGTCCCTAATGTTACCAATATCTTTATTAAAACAGGACGGTCTTTATCCTGCAGCTCACGACGACCCCACTTGCCAAGGTGTATCCTTTAGGCTTCAGTCTGGCTTACCAGAACAGATGGTTTCCTCCTCATCAGGAAACTCTGTTTTGAGTCAGCTTCCTGGGTTGAACTATATTGCACATTATATAGGAGTTGCAGTGCCTTCACCTATGCAGGATAGTGCTAAAGAGTCCTACTATTGCCCACACTCTCTTCCCTAAAGACAATGCATTGAAAACCAACTCTCCTTAACCAGTAATCTCCGCACCAAAGGGAGAGGTTTGCACAACTGGGTACTACTTATCTCTTGCGTGGCAGGCAGAAATATCTGCTGGAGAGCTCTGGAGCACCTGAATTGTCAGTAGGTGGAACACACTGGGTTACTGCCAAAGGTAAAAGAGTATGTCCGGTGGCCTTCCTGGGGTATAATCCCCTCCTTCTCTGGCTGATTCGCAGCCTCTCGAAGAAGAAACTCCAGATACCTTTCCTTGGTTCTTGCCTTAATCAGGTGACTGTTATTTAGTTAATAGCAGTGAGGTTAAATATCCTGCTTCTTTATGGTGATGGATGCTTTGCTGGACTGGGGAGGATTAGGAGATTCTGTGCTCAGGATTAAGTGGGTCATGCATAACTCTTTTGCTGTGCCCCAGAGACACTACCAGGGGTTAGAGTGGATTTGTTGTGTTCATCCTCACTTTCACATGTGGTAGTTGACATCTTGCTTAGCAAGAAATATGGAGCTGCTTTTTGTAATCCACATTATTTTGGGGGTTTGTTCCTTCTTAATCAGGTTACTATGTTGTTCCACCCCCTTTTGGTGGCTTTTTTTGTTCCACAGCCTCTCGCTGGTTCAACCTCTGTGTTTTTCTTCAGGGTGTCTTTTCCCTCTAGCTATGATCTCCTCTGTCTTGATCTTGAGAATTAGGTTGGTCCTCTGTGTCATCCATTTGTTTATTGGGAGCTTATTGCAGGGGACTTCTAATGTAGTTCCAGTTCTTCAGGTGGTTCTGAGTTGCAGACAGTCCTTTGTGTTTACTTGTGGGCCTGTCAGTGGCTGTTGCCTGCACCTCATTTGGACTGTTTTTGGATACTTTGTATCAGAATTTCTGTGTTCCTCAATAGATGAGAGAGAAAAATAGGATTTTTTTCTTACTGTAACATCTATTTTTTGGGGTCCACTGAGGGATATGTCCCACCTCTCTGTGTTTTTGCTTCTGGCCCTGGTACTGCTTTTTCACAAAACTGAAGGATGCTGGTTAGAGATGGCATTATACAGGGGCTAGCTTACAATTTTTCTGCTTGTCCAAACACTTGTAGGGAACAGTACAATCCAACTGTAAGTGAATTTTTGTGTCCCTCAAAGTAAGTACAAAAACCCTATCATACCAGAATATATGTAATGCTATTCAGCTTCTGCCCAACACCGTATATACAGTGAGGAACAGAAGTATTTGAACACCCTGCGATTTTGCAAGTTTTCCCACTTAGAAATCATGGATGGGTCTGAAATTCACATTGTAGGTGCATTCCCACTCTGAGAGACAGAATTTAAAAAAAAATTCAGGAAATCACATTGTATGGTTTTTAAAGAATTTATTTGTCTTGCACTGCTGAACATAAGTATTTGGACACCTGAGAAAATCAGTGTTAATATTTTGTACAGAAGCCTTTGTTTGCAATTACAGAGGTCAAACATTTCCTGTAGTTCTTGACCAGGTTTGCACACACTGCAACAGGGATTTTGGCCCACTCTTCCACACAGATCTCCTCTAGATCTCTCTGGTTTCGGGGCTGTCGCTGAGCAACACGGAGTTTCAGTTCCCTCCAAAGTTGTTCTTTTGGATTTAGGTCTGGAGACTGGCTAGGCCACTCCAGAATCTTGATATGCTTCTTACGGAGCCACTGCTTGGTTATCCTGGCTGTGTGCTTCGTTTCGTTGTCATGTTGGATGACCCAGCCACAACCCATCTTCAATGCTCTGACTGAGGGAAGGAGGTTGTTGCTCAAAATCTCACAATAAATGGCCCCATTCATCCTCTCCTTAATACAGTGCAGTCGTCCTGTCCCCTTCACAGAAAAGCACCCCCAAAGCATGATGTTACCACCCCCATGCTTCACAGTAGGGATGGTGTTCTTGGGATGCAACTCATCCTTCTTTTTCCTCCAAACACGACGAGTGAAGTTTAGACCAAAAAGTTCTACTTTGGTCTCATCTGACCACATGACTTTCTCCCATGCCTCCTCTGGATCATCCCAGATGGTCATTGGCAAACTTCAGACGGGCCTGGACATGTGATGACTTGAGCAGGGGAACCTTCCGTGCAATGCATGATTTGAAACCATGACGGCGTAGTGTTCTACCGACAGTGACCTTTGAAACTGTGGTCCCAGCTCTCTTCATGTCATTGACCAGCTCCTCCCTTGTAGTTCTGGGCTGATTCCTCACCTTTCTTATCAGTGATACCCCACAAGGTGAGATCTTGCATGGAGCCCCAATCCGAGGGAGACTGACAGTCGTATTTAGCCTCTTCCATTTTCTAACAATTGCTCCAACAGTTGATCTATTTTCACCAAGCTGCTTGGCAATTGCCTCGTAGCCCTTTCCAGCCTTGTGGAGGTCCACAATTTTGTTTCTGGTGTCTTTTGACAGCTCTTTGGTCTTGCCCATGGTAGTAGTTGGCGTCTGACTGACTGTGGGGTGGACAGGTGTCTTTAAAGAGCTCAGACAGGTGCTACTAAGCTAGGCGCAGTAGGTCTTTGAGAGCCAGAATGCTTGCTGTTTCTTAGGTGTTCAAATACTTATGTTCAGCAGTGCAAGACAAATAAATTCTTTTAAAATCATACAATGTGATTTCCTGAATTTTTTTTTTAATTCTGTCTCTGAGTGGGAATGCACCTACAATGTGAATTTCAGACCCCTCCATGATTTCTAAGTGGGAGAACTTGCAAAATTGCATGGTGTTCAAATACTTCTGTTCCTCACTGTAGCTACAGAAATGACTCTGCTTTTCACTATAGCAGCACTACAGCACAGTCATTTTGAAGGTCTCTTTTCTGCTCCCTGTCTCTTCAGTATCCTTAAAAGTGTCAAATTGACTTGTTCACAGTCCATAACTTGCCACTCCAAACCTATTTTTTTCTTTTTCGGTAGCTAATGTAGATAATGTTTCCACACTATCTGAAGGCAAAAAAAAAAATGTGATGACATTTAAAACATGCATAACTTGACATTGGTGTTTTATCATGTTGTTCAGTCGAAGAACTGAGATGTAGATAACACTTTTTTTCTCTTTGACAGAAAAGTTTGACCAGGTCACATGCAGAAATTGAAAATATGTGAGCAATAAAAAGGGGTCAAAGGGGGGTCCCCTTAAATAATCCATTTCTTACCCAAGTTGGGTTAAGTCTTATGCTGCCTTTAGGAGAGGCTTTGCTGTGTCTGGAATTTTTATTTTTTCCTGTCACTCACTGCCTGTCTTCGCCTTTTTCTGTGTTTCAGCCCCACGGCAGTGCCGTATCTGTGGAGGTCTTGCAATGTATGAGTGCAGGGAGTGCTATGACGACAGTGACATTTCTGCAGGAAAAATTAAGCAGTTCTGTAAAACATGCAACACCCAGGTGAGTGCTGTGTATGTGGTCTAAAAGTTAGATTTTAAAAAGTCAGAATGCCTCTTTGAAAATGCTTTGGATACCTTTATCCAGAAGATTACAGGAAGAGTAAGCACTCTCTTCTGCAAAGAAGCAGGAGAAGCCTTTGAAGCAAAAAACTGTCTGTGTCGTGGACTAAAAAGGGTTCCTTTTGCTCCCTTCAGAACTCAGGGGCTAAGCAAAAATTTTCTTTCATAAAAAATCCTGGAACCCCAAGAGTGGCAACAGGCCTTGAAGCCATATTCTGTAAGGCCTTTTAGTTAGATCAGGACATTTCATTTAGATCAGGACACAGTGTTGCCTTTTCTTTGTCCAGCTTTTAAACATCCTAAGGAGATACCCTGGAGATCAGTGCGGGTCTGTGCAGTCTGTCTTGCAGCCACAATTTCGATTTTTCAAGCTGATGCTTTTTGTGTTACTGAAGACTTCTGAAAGGAACAGATTGCCTCCCAATCTAAAATTGCGAGATTTGGCAGATCATTACTCAGGCATATAAAGTGTCAATACTTTGTGAGCTTTTCAGCAACAGACCTCAGTTTTCCAGGTCTATAAGGCTGCCACCTCGTCTTCTGTATACACGTTGGCCAGGTTTTAACAGAGGAATGTGCAAAGTATGGAAGGTCCTCCCGGCAGCCCTGTAAGGGCCATGACATTTTTTTCTTGTTAAGAGGTTTTCTTAGTGGGTCAGCCTTTGTTTGCTGTTTATCACACCTCTTGGAATTGCATTTAGAAATCCCAATGGTCTAAGAATTAATACTTCTGTGTATTGTGATGTACAATGAAGAAAACAAGATTTTTGACTTACCCATAAAATCCATTTTGTGGAGTACATCACAGAAAATAGATCCCTCCCTTATTTTTTTACTCCAATATTGCTTGTTGACAAACCTGAGGCAGTGCTGGGAGTGGATGGGGTTACGAATTAAGCTTTATAATTTAAAAGTGTCCAATCACCTGGAGGTGGGGCATAACCCAATGGTCTACAAATTAACTTGGTTTTTTAAATCTGCATTCTTATTTGAAGCAAAACTAAATTCTATTGGATGGGAGCTTGTTATAATGTGCAAGTATGCATACTTGCACACTATGGCACACTTACCTCCTAGTGTGCTTTCTTCCGCCAATGACAGGTCCAAGTTCCAGTTGCCATGTCGCCCTCTGCCACCTCATCTTTCCTGGTGCTTCTTCTGGGTCTCGTGTCTCTTTTCCTTGGGTATTGGGTGATCACGGATTATGTATATCATGCTCTTGCATTACACTGTCCCCGCCACCCCAGATCTGTTCTCAGCATGCAAAGAACAATTTGTGATATACATGGCATGGCGCATGTGCCACAGTGTAAACAGAAAATCTAAAATTGCTAGGCTCACAGAGCAATTTTTTTTTTTTTTTTATGTTTTGGCAAAACGGACTCTAACCCCTAGCAAATTTTTGCTTCAGGACTTTATTTCCACTTCAAGAGTCAGATATTGAAATCATGTGAGTGATATGACATACGAGATTAACTAATTTAACTTACACCGCTTGTTGTTCCATCAATTTGACTGCTTCTCTCATACATATCTTTTATTTTGAATTCCATAGGTTCACCTTCACCCAAAAAGACAACACACCATAAATTCAATCCAGTTTCTCTTCCCAAAGAGCTCCCAGACTGGGATTGGAGACGTGGCTGCATACCATACCAGAAGATGGATCTGTTTGCTGTGTTGTGCATCGAGACAAGTCATTATGTGGCATTTGTAAAATATGGCAGGGATGACTCTGCTTGGGTGTTTTTTGACAGCATGGCAGACCGAGATGGTAGGTGTATAGATATGTATATTGCATATTTTGAAATCCTACTTCAACTTTTTCAGTAAACATGGTGTCATACAAATTACTTAAAAGTCATATTCCGATATTTCTATGGCACTATGCTGCATACTTTAAAGCATGTGACATTCCGCAAACATTCACTGCAGGTATATAGTCCTGGTGTATTTGGTATAAATGTCAGCAACTGATTCACTGCAGTAAATGTTTGTTGCATGCCTTATCTACTGCTTTAGAAATATGCCCGTGTCTGAGAAAAAAAAACAGAGTATTCTCGAAAGCTTGCACAACAAAATATATTCAGTTAGCCAACAAAAGTTATTTATTATATTTTAACTCTCTTGCTACTTTCTCTGGCTAACCCAGTGCAACGCTACTTCAGATTCTGTTACTTCGATAATGGAAGACATTATAAAATAAGGAAAAGTATGGCAAATGGGACTTTTTTATACCCTTAATGTTATCCTAAATTTTGCAATGCAGACAGTAGCTCCAGTAGCTTCTGCTCCAGTTATGCATTAAGCAGAGAGAACATCTCCGAGATGAGCTCTCGCAGGGACTTGATATGTATTTTCGCCACAATGTTGGCTCCATACCTTCTACCTCGACCATGTGGGAAGCTCACAAGGCGGTATTTTGGGGACTTTGTATCTCCATGGGTTCTAGCCTGAAAAAATCCTTGGCGAGTGCCAAGGCTTCCCTGGTCCGCCAACTATCCTTGGCTGAACATAGACTTCTTGCAAAACCGTCTATTTCTCGGCTTCACAAGGTGACCTCTCTTCGTGACCGAATCAAGGCCCTTGATGCCTGGAAGTCTGCACAATCTCTCCTCTGGGTCAAGCAGAAATTTTACGAATATTCTAATAAACCTCACCGTATGCTCGTCAATCGACTCAAAGCACAATCTCCCTCTACGATGCCAGACCATCTAATCCAACCGAATGGGGACCCTACCTACGATCCCATGTAATGTTCTCCCTTTTTGGCTCATACTATGAGAATCTCTAAAATTGTTTGACCCCAGACCTCCATCTCCCCCCTCACAGAGACGTCCGTTTTTTCGACCCCTTTTTGTTTCCGAAGCTTTTGCCTTCTGATATTTCGGCCCTTAATGCTGACATCTCATCCAAAGAACTATTTGACACAGTTAAACATCTCCCTTCCCAAATAACTCTGGGACCAGACGGACTGCCCTACTCTTATTACAGGATCTTCATTGGTATCCGGGCCCCTCACCTTCTCTATCTACCAAGATTTCTTCAAAGGCGTCACTCCTCAGGCTGACGTCTCCCGTGCGTATATCTCTGTTATTCCCAAACCTGCCAAAGACCATTCTATCCTAGATAACTATCGTCCCATTGCTCTACTAAACTCTGATTACAAGATCTTCACTAAGATCCTGGCCAACAGGCTGTCCAGACTCATCTCCAAGTTCATACACAGAGATCAAGTAGGTTTTGTTCCTGCCAGACATGCTGCGGATAACACCAGGAGATCTATTGATCTAGTTGACCTGGTTAACCAATCTTCTACCCCTGCCATTTTATTGAGTTTAGATGCTCAAAAAGCCTTTGACCGCCTTAGCTGGCCCTACATGTTTATGGTCTTGGAGAAGTTTGGTTTCCGAGGCCCGTTTGTGGCTGCTTTGAAAGCTCTTTATTCTTCTCCCTCCTCGCAGGTCAGATTGACCTCCTTTCTTTCATCCCCTTTCCAGATGTCAAATGGTACGTGACTGGGATGTCTGCTTTCCCCTTTGTTGTTTATTCTCTGTTTGGAGCCGCTAGCTATTGCAATCCGGTCTAACCCTGATATACAAGGGATATTTTCTCATGGTCATGAGTACAAACTCTCCCTGTTTGCAGATGATATCCTGCTCACACTCTCGAACCCTCAAACCTCTCTACCGGTTTTACATAAAATTTTATGACAATTCGGGACCCTATCAAGTTACAGAGTTAATACGTCCAAAACTGAAGCATTCCCACTACACATCCCACCAGTTGTTCTATCATCTCTCCAAGAGTCCTTTCCTTACCGATGGTGCCCTCACTCTTTAAAATATTTGAGTACTAACCTTACTTCCTCCTACCATTCTATATATGAAGCTAATTTTTCCCACTATTTATAGCTATTTCCCGCTCCTTGAAATTCTGGGATACCCTACCCATTTCCTTCCTGGGACGCATCAATATAATAAAAATGACTGTGCTGCCCAAACTCATGTACTTATTTGCAACCCTTCCCGTTCCTATGTCCAAACTACACTCCCTCCAGAAATCCCTTCTACATTTCATTTGGCACAATAAGCAACGTAGAATTGCACAATTGTACAAGTGTACTGCTCTCTCTGCATTCTAGGGGGGCCTAGGGACACTGGATATAGTGACTTATTATTATGTTACTCACCCTCCGTTTTCTTATGTCATGGTCCACCCACTACCCAACCCCTTCCCCCCCCCAACATGTGGACTGAGATTGAATCTTTGCAATTAACTCTGACCCATCCATGCTCCCTCCTTTGGTCAACCTCGGCGGTGGATGTTGTCTCTATTTGTCATCTCTTCCTTGGCCCCATGCAATTTTCCTTGACTGTTTGGCAGAAATGTATGGCTAAATTTGCACTGGCCTCCGATTTGCTCTCCACTGACCAAAATCCTTTTTAATCCCAATCTCCCGATAGTCTGGCCATGTCCCGAGTGCTCGCTTGGGTCACAGCCAATCTTTTCCAACTGCGCCACTTGGTACACCCTGTAACTCGGAAGCTGCAACCATTCTCAGACCTCCAGAAAAAAGATCTACCTTACCAACATTTTTATGTTTATCTCCAGATATGCCATTTCTTCTCTACCATGTCTCCCACACTGACCCATGGGAAGCCTACTCCCTTTGAGCGTCTATGTATACAGGGCCCACATCAAAGGAGCATAATTTCTAATACATATAAACTCCTTATGGATGCTTCCCCCATATCTAATGACACCCATCATTACATGCGCAAATGGTCCCAGTTTTTACAATGTGACATTGATCTGACACTTTGGAAGAAAATTTGGGAAAACGCACCTAGATCTTCTGTTTGCGTGGTTTATAAGGAGAATACATACAAAATTATGATGTTGTGGTACAAAACGCCTGAAGTACTCCATGCCTATAATCTGAATGCTTCTTCTGCCTGATGGCGCTGTGGGAAGGACTTTGGCTCTCTCTACCATATTTTTTGGACATGTGGATCCATTACTCCTTTTTGGGAAGAGGTTTTGTCCTTCTTTCAAATGTTATTGCATACCTCTGTCCCTTTCGAGCCTCTATACCAGTGATGGCGAACCTTTTTGAGCCCGAGTGCCCAAAACTGCAACACAAACCAACTTTTTTATTTCAAAGTGCCAACACTGCAATTAACCACTTGCCTACCTGGACGCACTGACAGACGGCACTGATCGGTGGCACTGTTGGGCATCATTGATGGGTGGCACTGATGGGCAGCACTGATGGGCGACACTGCTGGGCAGCACTGACAGGTGGCACTGCTGGGCAGCACTGACAGGTGGCACTGCTGGGCAGCACTGACAGGTGGCACTGCTGGGCAGCACTGACAGGTGGCACTGCTGGGCAGCACTGACAGGTGGCACTGCTGGGCAGCACTGACAGGTGGCACTGCTGGGCAGCACTGACAGGTGGCACTGCTGGGCAGCGCTGACAGGCGACACTGCTGGGCACTGATGGGTGACACTGCTGGGCACTGATGGGTGACACTGACTGGCATCATTGATGGGTGGCACTGATGGGTGCGCACTGCTGGGCAGCACTGACAGGTGGCACTGCTGGGCAGCACTGACAGGTGGCACTGCTGGGCACTGACGGGTGGACACTGCTGGGCATCATGACAGGGTGGCACTGCTGGGCAGCACTGACAGGTGGCACTGCTGGGCAGCACTGACAGGCGACACTGCTGGGCACTGATGGGTGACACTGCTGGGCATCATTGATGGGTGATGGGCAGCTGATGGGCGATACTGCTGGGCACTGACATGTGGCACTGCTGGGCAGCACTGACAGGCAACACTGCTGGGCACTGATGGATGACACTGCTGGGCAGACTGATGGGCGGGCGACACTGCTGGGCACTGACAGGCGACACTGCTGGGCACTGATGGATGACACTGCAAGCAGTTAATCTCACCTCTGGCAGCGTCGGTGTGGCTTCCAACCCAGCAGCTCATTCCCATTCATGCTGAACACGTTGCCCCTGGCCCCGGAGCAGTGTGGGAGCCTCTTCCTCTCTTCCGCGCCCATCCCCGGGTACATCACCCCTGGTGCCAGAGCCGCATTGGAGCCGTTTCCTCTCGTCCACGCCCACCCTGGCCCCAGAGACATGTGGGAAATGTAGTTTGATGGGGGTCCAGTGTGGACGAGATCTGGATGGCCGGTCCGTGTGCGCTCATCATCCTCTTCTTCCTGGCGTGCCCACTGAGATGGCTCTGCGTGCCAGCTCTGGCACGCGTGCCATAGGTTTGCCATCACTGCTCTATACTATTTATTGAGCCTGCCATTTCTAGGCCTACCCAAAATGGCCAGGAAACTCATGATCTGACAGCGGCCAGAAGAAGCATTCCTATGTGTTGGCTATCCTCTATACCTCCTTCGATGCCGACTTTGTTTAAAATTATTGCGGATGTAAGACAGATGGAATACTTGACCGCTCTACATGCCTGTTCGATTGCTGTGTTTGAGGCAGTGTGGCACCCATGAGATATCGTTATCTCTTCTCAACCTACCCAAAATGTACAGTTCTAATGGCCTCTCCACTGTTATTCTGTGACAGCATATGTTCTGTACCCATGCAGATTTCTACCATTGATGTGCTTTTTTTTCTCTTGTTTTTCTTTCAAATGTGATATTTGTGTGTGTATGTATGTATGTGTGTGTGTGTGTGTGTGTGTGTGTGTGTGTATATATCCAAATCAGGTGAACGGTGTAGGAATTACAACAGTTTGCCAATGTGCCTCCCACTTAAGGGACCAAAAGTAATGGGACAGAATAATAATCCTAAATCAAACTTTCACTTTTTAATACTTGGTTGCAAATCCTTTGCAGTCAATTACAGCCTGAAGTGTGGAACGCATAGACATCACCAGACGCTGGGTTTCATCCCTGGTGATGCTCTGCCAGGCCTCTACTGCAACTGTCTTCAGTTCCTGCTTGTTCTTGGGGCATTTTCCCTTCAGTTTTGTCTTCAGCAAGTGAATTGCATGCTCAATCGGATTCAGGTCAGGTGATTGACTTGGCCATTGCATAACATTCCACTTCTTTCCCTTAAAAAACTCTTTGGTTGCTTTTGCTGCAGTATGCTTTGGGTCATTGTCCATCTGCACTGTGAACTAGCGTCCAATGAGTTCTGAAACATTTGGCTGAATATGAGCAGATAATATTGCCCGAAACACTTTATAATTCATCCTGCTGCTTTTATCAGCAGTCACATCATCAATAAATACAAGAGAACCAGTTCCATTGGCAGCCATACATGCCCACGCCATGACACTACCACCACCATGCTTCACTGATGAGGTGGTATGCTTAGGATCATGAGCAGTTCCTTTCCTTCTCCATACTCTTCTCTTCCCATCACTCTGGTACAAGTTGATCTTGGTCTCATCTGTCCATAGGATGTTCCAGAACTGTGAAGACTTTTTTAGATGTCGTTTGGCAAACTCTAATCTGGCCTTCCTGTTTTTGAGGCTCACCAATGGTTTACATCTTGTGGTGAACCCTCTGTATTCACTCTGGTGAAGTCTTCTCTTGATTGTTGACTTTGACACACATACACCTACCTCCTGGAGAGTGTGTCTTGATCTGGCCAACTGGAAAGAATTCTTTGGTCATCCAGCACAGTTGTTTTCCGTGGTCTTCCGGGTCTTTTGGTATTGCTGAGCTCACCAGTGCGTTCCTTCTTTTTAAGAATGTTCCAAACAGTCGTTTTGTCCACGCCTAATGTTTTTGCTATCTCTCTGATGGGTTTGTTTTGTTATTTCCGCCTAATGATGGCTTGCGTCACTGATAGTGACAGCTCTTTGGATCTCATCTTGAGAGTTGACAGCAACAGATTCCAAATGCAAATAGCACACTTGAAATGAACTCTGGACCTTTTATCTGCTCATTGTAATTGGGATAATGAGGGAATAACACACACCTGGCCATGGAACAGCTGAGAAGCCAATTGTCCCATTACTTTTGGTCCCTTAACAAATGGGAGGCACATATGCAAACTGTTGTAATTCCTACACTGTTCACCTGATTTGGATGTAAATGCCCTCAAATTAAAGCTGACAGTCTGCAGTTAAAGCACATCTTGTTCGTTTCATTTCAAATCCATTGTGGTGGTGTATAAAGCCAAAAATGTTAGAATTGTGTCGATGTCCCAGTATTTATGGACCTGACTGTATGTGAAAACCAATAAAAACTGTTAATTATAAAAAAGCAGAGAGAACAAGGTAGGCTGTAATAATGCGGTGTATAGTGAAGTGCAGATAGCAATATCCACTTACAAATATAAAAACACCTTAGTGTACAGTAAGTAGATAGATTTCTTGTGTTAGAGATTCAGTTCTAGGTTCCTGCTTGTGCTGTGTCTTATACAACAGACAATTGTTTTTTTCTGTAATCAGCTTCAGACTTTCACCACAAAAACAATGTTCTGTTCTGCAGTGACTATTTGTAGAGTTCAGCTTTAATGAGCAAATTTTATCAAACAGCTGAATTCACAGGTACAGTGCATATAAAAGGAGTTGTTTTATCTGCCAAAGTATTTGTAATTCTGTCCATACAGTTCTAAGATTTAAACATCTTTGCCACACAACCAGGTAGCTAACACCACTTTCTCTGTATGCAAATTGTAGAATGGAAATAATCTTCTATTAAACATCCTAATGCTAGGCAAAGTCTTGCCTGTCAAAGGGGCTTATGTATGAAAAGGACATTTATGGTTTCCTGTAACAACTAGACAGAATCATTGTTTTTTATTTTAAGCTGTGGACTCTAGAAATGAAAGCTGAAAACTGTTTGGTTGATATGAGCCATAAAATCCTGCTCGTTAGCGCACTTTCCATACATGAGCCAAAAGTGTATAAAATTGATTCTAGGTAAACACACACTCAAAAAATCAGAGAATAAATTCTCCTTGCATACAGACAAGTCAAATGCTAAATGCCATTGTGATGAAGAGAACTCATCCATCAAGTGAAAGGGGAAGTTTACTTGCAGGGAAAGATGTTGCTGTCATTTTAGCTTATTAGTGCACGGTTAGTTCACCTTCGCAAAAACTGCCTATGCAGTAAAGGGGTGCAAATAGATAAAAAAAAAACTTACTGTGCTACTATGTACAATATTGAATTATGGATTTGCTATTGCTTTAGGCCATTTTCGCCCCTCCAGAAGCCTAATGAAAAAATTTCCATAAATTACATTTATTACAGTTCTCACCCTGCCAAGTGCCAGTACCATACATTTTTTAAAAAAGGTCCCATAGCAGGCAATCCCCTATCCTGTTCTGGCACTCCAGCCGTTGATGCTCACCTCCACCATCACAAGAGGTTGCTCTCTCTCAGAATCAAACATCGCACATGTGCAGTAGCTCAGAGTTGCTGCGATGGGTGAGCATGCATGCCCAGTGTTTGAATCTGAAAGAGAAATCTTACACTTGTGATACTGGAGGTGAGCACCAATGGCCGAACTATCAGTATAGCAACATCCTAGCACCAGGATTGTTCTTAGCAACACTGTTTTAATTCTACTGGTGACCCTTAATTGCATAGGCAGTCTTTTCACAAAGGTGAACTAACCCTTTAAAAAGGAACAACATACATTACCCCAGAGCTAATCCAATGCACACCTGCACTGGAGAATGATGGATGAGTAATGAAACTCATGAGAGTTCAACTTTCCTTTCGTCATTTTAGACAGTTCTTATTATATAAACTTTGGTAACACCAGCATGCCTTGGAATAATATTCTCTTGTCTTTCTGCAGGTGGACAAAACGGGTTTAACATTCCACAAGTCACCCCATGTCCTGAGGTTGGGGAATATCTGAAAATGTCCTTAGAGGAGCTTCATGCCTTAGACTCTCGAAACATTCAGGGCTGTGCCAGGCGGCTCCTGTGTGATGCCTACATGTGCATGTACCAGAGCCCCACTATGAGTTTGTACAAATGAAAGACTGCTCTGTTTTATACAACAGTGTAAAATATATGCCTAAAGGGGGCAGACTGTGACTCCACAGCTTCTGTTGACCCTGTCCTGATGAAACATAATGTTCAGTGACTGGAGAGCCACAGATTGCCTGAGATTGTTATGGTTTCTTACCTTTAAAAACTGGCAAAGCGTTTTTCTTACACTAAAATTCTTCCCATCTTTTCCTTAATGCATTTACTCTCAACAGACAAGATAACATACAATATAACTGCATCTGCAGCCTTCTTTTGCACTTCAGTTAGTTTTATTTTTCTGTTTTGTCTTTTAATTTTTACTGAATGTAAGTAACAAGGGAAGGAACAATCGCTGAAGCTTTAATTCATAACCGAATTTTAATGTGTTCTTTTCTTTCTGTTTGAAATAAAAACATTACATGGCACAAGTGAAATGCTCTGTATTTGGACTTGTGATAATTTCTGTCTGATTTTTCTTTTCGGTTTAAAAATATACTGATACAGTAAAATTTTTGGAGTGTTTGACATTTAAAACACATGAAAAATACTTCACTAATACAGCTCTGTCAAGACAGCAGAAACCTCCAGAATGCCCAAGTGCTTTTATATGCAGAAACTTCTTGGGCCAGATGGGTTACGTGCCTGTCCCTGTCCATTCTTGAATGCGAAGTCAGACACAGAGGGGACAGTCCCGCTGCAAAGAATGACACCCCACTCATACTTCCTAACAATTTCAGGGAGGTTTTTTCTGTGCCTTCTAAAATGTACTGAACCTATGGTTTTGGGATCCACCTTGTCATCAAAGTCCTTTTTAGCTACACAGGCTGGGGCTAAGTCCCATCTAGGGTCTACTACAGTCAATCAGTCTAAATTAACCCAGTTCTAGGCTGGTTCTGAGGGAAGTAACTGGGCCACTGGTGACAGTTACCATCTCTGACTGATTTGTGGTCCCTTCGGTTTCTTCCTGATGAGATTGTTTTTGAGGAATCGCAGACTTTTCATTACTCTGATTTACGAGGGACTGTGTTGCCTCCTTTTGATGTGGTATGTACTATTTGCATTTGGGAATCGGCCTACTGTCTCCAGTCTCTGCTCTGTTGGAGCTCATATAGCTGGGAAAACATTCTCATTACCCTTACTCCTTGAGGTATTGCTCTTTGGTGATTGGAAGCAACCCTATAGGTCCTAATCCCCCGAGTGCTTACTAGATCTGTTCTCATTTGGAAAGGAATTTTTTAAACAGCGGTTTATACCCACTGTAGATCTGCCAATGAACAACTGTAAAACCACCAAAAGCTAAAATCTGTCCATAAAGCCCAGTTTTCTGGCTGTGACCCTAATTTGTCAAGTTACTATTATTATTATATAGGGTTTATATGGCGCCAACAGTTTGCGCAGCGCTTTAGAAAATGAAGGTAGACAGTACAGTTACAATACAATTTGGTACAAGAGGAAACAGAGAGCCCTGCTTGTTAGAGCTTACAATCTAAGAGGAAGGGTTGAGTGATACAGAAGGTAACGGTTGTGGGGGATGAGCTGATGGAGGTAATAAAAAGCAGTTTACTAGTTAGAAGCAGGATAGGCTTCTTTAAAGAAAGAGAGGTTTTCAGGGATCGTCTAAAGGTGGATAGATTATTATTATACAGGATTTATATAGCGCCAACAGTTTGCTCAGCGCTTTACAATATAACGGGACACAATACCGTAACAATACAGTTCAATACAAGAGGGTTAGGAAGGCCCTGCTCCTTGGAGCTTACAATCTAAAAGGGAGGGGCTAGTGGTACAAAAAGTAGTAACTGTGGGGGATGGACTGGTAGGAGGAATAGAAGATTCCATTATTAGCTGAGGGCAGGATAAGCTTCCCTGAAGAGAGAGGTTTTCAGAGATCACCTAAAAGTGAGCAGAGTAGGCAATAGTCTGATAAATTGGGGTAGAGCGTTCCAGAGGATGGGGGAAGCTCTGGAGAAGTCCCGGAGATGAGCATGGGAGGAGGAGACAAGAGAGCAGGAGGTCGTGCGAGGAGCGGTGAGTACGGTTTGGGTGATATTTGGAGACAAGATTGGTGATGTAATTTGGGGCAGTTATAAATGGCTTTATATGTTTTTGTTAATGTTTTGAATTGTATCCGTTGGGCAATGGGAAGCCAGTGAAGGGATTGGCATAGAGGGGTGGCAGATACAGAACTGTTAGTAAGGTGGATGAGTCTGGCAGCAGCATTCATGATAGACTGAAGAGGGAATAGCCTGCGATGAGGTAGGCCAATGAGGAGGGAGTTACAATAGTCAAGGCGGGAGATAACAAGGGAGTGAATAAGTTGCTTAGTAGTTTCCGAGGTTAAGAACGGGCATATCTTGTTGTGGAGGTGAAGTCTACAAAATTTGGACAGCGATTGGATTTGGGGCTGAAAGGACAGATGGGAGTCTAGGATTACACCTAGCACCCTGGCATGAGGGGAGGAACTGATGGTTGTGTTATTGATCTTGATGAAGAAGTCAGGGGAGGGGGCAGGGGCTGGGGGGGAATACTAAGAGCTCAGTTTTGGAAAGATTGAGGTTGAGGAAGTGGAGTGACATCCATGCCGATATATCGCTTAGTAGGTTAGTAATGCAAGAGGAGACTGAAGGGGTGAGGTGAGGAGTAGAAAGATAGATTTGTGTGTCATCAACATAGAGATGGTACTTAACGCCATGGGAGTTTATCAAGTGACCAAGGGAGGAGGTGTAGATGGAGAAGAGTAGGAGTCCAAAGGACAGAACCTTGAGGGACTCCTACAGAAAAAGGGAGTGGAGAGGAGGAACCAGAGTTATAGGTAACGCTGAAGGAGCGTTGCGATAGGTAGGAGGAGAACCAGGAGAAAGCAGAGTCTCTGAGGCCAAGAGAGTGGAGTTTTTTGAGGAGGAGGGGATGGTCAACCGTATCAAAAGCCATGGAGACGTCAAGTAGTAAGAGTACGGAGTAGTGGCCATTGGTTTTAGCAGTTAGTAGATCATTAGTGAGTTTTAGCAGGGCAGTTTCAGTGCAGTGTAGTGAGCAAAAGCCAGACTGTAAAGGGTCAAGAAGTTTGTTGTCAGTGAGGTAGGAGCTCATGCGATTGTAGACTAAGCATTCTAAGAGTTTAGAGGTAAACGGGAGCAGGGAGATGGGTTTTAAGTTTTTCAGGTTGGTAGGGTCCAGTGAGGGCTTTTTAAGTATGGGAGTGATGTGTGCATGCTTTAGAGGGGAGGGGAAGGCACCGTTAGAGAGGGAGAGATTGAAGATGTGAGTGAGGGAGCATAGGATGGAAGAAGAGGGTGACCGTAGTAGTTGTGAGGGGACAGGATCCAGGGGGCAGGTAGTGAGACGGACTTCTGAGAAAACCTTAGTGACCTCTTCAGTAGTAGCAAGGTCAAAAGAGGAAAGTGTTGAGGGAGGTTTAGTATAAGGTATGTTAAGTGGGATGGATGTCTGTGCAGTGGCAATGCCCCTACGAATTGCGTCAATCATGTTTTTGAAATGATTTGCAATGTCGTAAGCAGTGAGTGAGGTACTGGGTGGAGGTGGAGAAAGTAGAGAGTTAAAAGTGGAGAAGAGATGACCAGGACTGGATGACAAGCTATTGATGAGAGTGACAAATTAGACTTGTTTGGCAGCATGGAGGGAGGAACTGTATGTTAAGAAAGCAGATTTATATAGGGTGAAAGCTTCGTGAGATTTTGTTTTACGTCACAATTGCTCCAGCGCACGACTATGTTAGTTTAAGATTTCTGGTGTCGTCAGTCTGCCAAGGTTGTAATGGTCAGTTCTGATGCTTCGTGTTGTTAGAGGAGCAAGTGAGTCTAGTGTGGATGAAAGGAAACTGTTGTAGACAGCAGTGGCCAGGGCAGGACAGGGGAGATATTCTGTCATAGAGGCAGTCAGTTGCAGAGTGGAAAGGAGCAGGGTTCAAGTTGTGAAGGTTTCTGTGGGTAATTGTTTGCTGCTTGGAGGGATAGGTGTATGAAGATGAGGACACTGTGAAGTTTATGAGATTATGATCAGAGAGAGGGAAGGAGGTGTTTGTGAGGTTGTAGGGAGTGCAACGATGGGAGACAACAAGGTCTAATGTATTCCCATCAGAGTGAGTGGAGGACTGTGTCCATTGTGCTAAGGCCAAAGATTAGGTTAGGTTGGGATGTAGCTGGGTTGTTCACATTGATGGGGATGTTAGATAGATCAAGAGAGAGTCTGACAGATTGGGGTAGGGAGTTCCTTAGGATGGGAGAAGTCCTGGAGGCAAGCATGGGAGGAGGTTACACGGGAACTAGAGATTAGAAGGTCTTGGGAGGATCAAAGAGAGCGGTTTGGTTGATATTTTGAGACCAGGTTGGTGATGTAGCTGGGGGCAGAGTTGTGGATGGCTTTGTAAGTTGTTAGTATTTTTAATTTTATTTGTTGGGCGAGTGGAAGCCAGTGGAGGGATTGGCAGAGAGAGGTAGCAGACACTGAAAAGTTGGTAAGGTGGATGAGCATTGCAGCAGCATTCATGATGGACTAGAGAGGAGATAGCCTATGTAAAGGTAAGACAATGATTAGGGAGTTGCAGTAGTCGAGGCGAGAGATAACCAGGGAGTGAATTAGAAGCTTTGTGGTATCATTGGTTAAAAAGTGACATATTCTGGAGATGTTGCAGAGGCTGAGGCGGCATGATTTGGACAGGGATTGGATGTGTGCCTGAAAGGATAATTGAGAATCCAGGGTTACCCCTAGCACCCTAGTATGCATAGATGGCTTGATAGTTGTGCTATTGATCTTGATCGAGAAATCAGGGGAAGAGGCACGTGGGGGAGGAAATAGTATGAGCTCAGTTTTGGATAGATTGAATTTTAGGAAGTGGTGTGACATACAATCTGATATGCCTTAGTAAATCGGTGATGCTGAGAAGTAGAGAGATAGATTTGTGTGTCATCAGCATAGAAATGGTATTGGAAACCATGGGAAGTTATTAGCTGACCCAAGGAAGAAGTATAGATCGAGAATAGGAGAGAT